GGGGGGGGGAGGGGGGGTGGTCATCTTCGTGATGGTTGGGACGTTCTATGCTCACAAATATCTCCTTCCTCATATTTACCCCCTCACAGAAATCTCATTCCTAAATCACAAATATATATTATTTAATTGAGAACTTATGACGTCATTTTCCACCTCCTGAATCTGTTGGTGTTACATTTCAGTGGACTTTTTGCTATAATTAGAAAACAAACATTAACATCAAATACCGCTTGATAATTCTTCGAATATTGCATGCCCCATTACAGCCATAATGGATTGCTATTATGATTTGGTTAGGATTTTTGCAAATTTGGATTGTTGCTTGGCTGTTGCCATAAAGGACAAAACAATGAAAGTTGTCTGTTTTTCATGGCTTGTTGGAAGTCATACGAAGGCCATGCTCACACATGTGGTTCCAAAGTACAATTTGTATTTATGTACTTCCTCCGTTTCCATAATGTAGTGCCTACAGATTTTTGCAAAAGTCAAACATTACAAATTTGACCATATTTATAAAGAAAAGTAGGTACATCTAGAACACCAAATGCATATCATTGAATACATCATGAGTTATATTTTTCGAATGTACATGTTTGGTATTGTAGATGTGGACAGTTTTCTCTATACACTTGGTCAAAGTTGGCAAAGTTTGACTTCCACAACTATAGGCAATACATTATGGAATGGAGGGAGTATATTTTTGTTGCAATGCACATGTATTTAAGTAGCACGATACAAGTGAGAGAAACAATTATATTGTCGCAATGTATTCTCTCAATTGGCCATCTTTGTGTTGTGGCACAGGATGGGGTATGCCTTCTCAAGGGACGGAGCCATGCCGTACTCGCACCTTTGGCACCGGGTGAACAAGCACGAGGTGCCATTGAACATTGTCTGGCTCTCCGTGCTCGTGGCCTTCGCCATGGCTCTCACGGTACGTATGCATGTTTCACAGACTCGGTGTCCTACCCTGAGTCCTCGACTAACATTTCATTTCCTTGCTTCATGTTATTTGGCGTGCGAAGTCATTGGGGAGTCAGGTAGCATTCCAGGCGATGGTATCCATTGCGACACTAGGGTTGTACATCTCCTACGCGCTGCCCATCTTCTTCCGGGTGACGACCGCCCGAAAGTCATTCGTCCGAGGGCCGTTTCACCTCGGTAGGTACGGTGTGATCATCGGCTGGGCTGCCGTGCTGTGGGTGGCCTTCATCACCGTGCTATTCTCGCTGCCGGTAGCATACCCTGTGGGAAAGGACGTCTTCAACTACACGCCGGTTGCCGTTGGCGGGGTGTTGTTGCTCAGCGTTGGCTCTTGGGTCTTCCATGCTCGGTTCTGGTTCAAGGGACCCATCGTGAACGTTGACACATACTAGAATTATGAGCCTTGTAAGCTTAATTAGTTTAATGGCTGGTTGATGTTTATGCACGAAGTAGAAGTAGATTTTCTGCAGCTGTTGCGGGAATCTTGACAGCACAACACACCTTTCTCTCCGCCCCTCTTTCAAAAAATGTCTCGCCGGGCCGGTGACTGCCCACGGTAGGAGTTACCCGCTCTGATCCATGTGCATATGCAGTATCGATTAGCGGTACACTACGGCTGCAATAAGCTGCAGAAAGATTGAAAATATATATACACGATTAATGTGTTCATGTGTTCATCCGATTAAAAACATATGCACGTGTGACATGTATAGTTCATGTGTTCTATGACAACATGATTAATTAAAACTCGATATATTCATTCAATTTAGTCGTCTACACTAAAGTACCCTACCTCAAAATGCAATAGAAGAGGAAACAACACCAGGATCTCTAATCACACGAGTGTATCAACCGAGCAAACATAAAGATCAGGGATACAGAGCGTAATCACACTGGCTTGATAGTTGACACTGACATGAACAAAGGAGGCAAATGGTCTCCCTTTCTATATATTGTACTCTTATATGGTACATCCTTTTCCAGTCAAATTAACGCCATTTTTATATTGCAAGAGCCAGATACAAAGGAGGCAAATGGTCTCCCTTTCTATATATTCTACTCCGATTTGGATGGCGGTCATGTAATAGGATAGGCATTTAGTATCCCTATCTAGTTCAGCCAGCCGGTTGTGGCATCTTGATTTGGCTAGTTGATGTTTCTAGCCTTTTTTGGCTCTGTGTGAGCTTTTTGTGATTTTCTATGACTTGTGAAGACCTTTGGAACCATGTTGGCACTTCTTTATTTTGATAATAAGATGACCGTATGCATCATTCTGATGCAGAGGCCGGGGAATCCCCCCTTTTCGAAAAAAATATATTCTACTCTGATATGGTACATCTTTTTCCAGTCAAATTAATGCAATTTTCATAATCCAAGAGCCAGGGGCGGGGAGAGGAGCTGTCTTGTAATCTTATCATATCACTCCATATCACGCTAATGATTGTGGAACCCTTGGTCAACAATGCTAAATCACGCGAAAGGACATCTTGAATAATAATTCCGTGCATGACCCATATGTGGTGACAACAATTTGCCCTCGGTCAACAATGCCAAATCATGCGGAAGGGGATCTTTCCCGCGTTAAACCTTGGATAGTTTGTGACCTTGTCTAAATTTCAGTGTTGGAACTGATTTCTTACAAGTCTCGGTTGATTTTAAAAAGTACAACCTGTAATATTTGACCTGCTAGTTGGTCTTTTAATAAGTAAAAATTGCAATTTTGGGAAATTGAGTCTCCCTTAACTCATGGTCAAAGGTTAGCTAAAACTAGTTTGGAGGGAGGAGGGGGGGATACAAATCGGAAGGGAGAGAGCGGTATACATCGTTTTTGATCAAATTACTGCAATTCATAGTCCAAGGAACATTCACGAGATACCAGAAAATTGAACTTAAACGGTCTTGTTATCTGATCATACCACTCCCACATTAAAGTATAACTTAAACGGTCTTGTTATCTTAACATTCACGAGATACTGGGTACTTGTATAACTCCCACCCAGGTTGACAACTTTGAAGTGACAGGTAAGGATATGCTAGTATCTTTGCCTACTTTTCACTTACCATGGAAAATAACACACCACCTCACATGAACAGAGCAGATCAGACAGAGCTTTCAAAGCTGAATTTGTTGCTCAAATCTCCCATCTGTTAATGTATGGGGTCTGACCAGTCTTCTCCTTTCTTCTCCATCAAAGCAGATAAAGATGGTACATGATGTGTGTATGTATGGCTATGGGCAGGGTCAGCCATACACCCTCCACCTTGAAAAATACCTCATGTATATACAGTAGTTGTTTAGCAGATGGCGGATATCAGGACGATCACCGGCAGGAAAGGTGACATATACTCTACGAAACTCGGCTCAGCTTCTTGGTACTTCTATGATCGATCCGGGTCTCTTGTATCACAGCTTTTCATTCTAGATGACGTGGGTGATGCCACTGCCAACGCCAACGACATGCTGACTGCTGTACTTGGTCGAGATGGATCCATTGCCTTCAGCTTCCTTCCAAATTGGAATTGCTGGAGCAGTCGGCCAAAGGGGATTCCGCTGGGCTCGTGTGACGTGCCAGCACGATGCAGCCCATACACCATCTGCATCGAGGGGGCAGGGTGCCAGTGCTCCTCGGCCCTGAGTTCGTTTCCGAACTGCAACCCCGGTATCATGTCATCGTGTAGCTCAAGGGATGAGTGGAGTTGGATATACCGGCACAAGATTCGCCTTGCCTGTTGCAGCGAACACAAACATCACAGGATGCAAGGATGCCTGCATGAACAATTGTTCGTGTGTTGCTGTGGTCTTCAACCAAGACAATTGCTTCCTTTTCGATCAAATCAGTAGCTTCCACATGAGAAATGTAAGATCTTTTTACATCTTTTGTCAAGCTACCTCTGCCATAGACATCTGGTAAAACTCCGAGGTTTTTGTACCGAGGGGGTGCACAGGTTAGGGTTTAGGGTTTAGGGTGTACATTGTGACATCAAGCCTGAGAATGTTCTGTTTGATGACAATTTCACTGCAAAGGTATCTGACTTTGGTCTTGCCAAACTGATGAGCAGAGAGCAAAGCCACGCCTTCACGATGCTGAGAGGCACCCGAGGCTATCTTGCGCCGGAGTGGATCACCAACCGCGCCGTCTCAGAGAAGTGTGACGTCTATAGCTATGGGATGGTTGTTGGGTTTCGTAGTAATTTCAAAAATTTTCCTACGCGCACACAGGATCATGTGATGCATAGCAACGAGGGGAGAGTGTTGTCTACGTACCCAACGCAGACCGACTGCGGAAGCGATGACACAACGTAGAGGAAGTAGTCGTACGTCTTCACAATCCAACCGATCAAGCACCGAAACTACGGCACCTCCGAGTTCGAGCACATGTTCAGCTCGATGACGATCCCCGGACTCCGATCCAGCAAAGTGTCGGGGAAGAGTTCCGTCAGCACGACGGCGTGGCGACGATCTTGATGAACTACAGCAGCAGGGCTTCGCCTAAACTCCGCTACAGTATTATCGAGGAATATGGTGGCAGGGGGCACCGCACACGGCTAAGGAATCGATCACGTGGATCAACTTGTGTCAACTTGTGTGTTTAGAGGTGCCCCTGCCTCCGTATATAAAGGAGTAGAGGGGGGGAGGCTGGCCGGCCATAGAGGGAGGCGCAGGAGAGTCCTACTCCCTCTGGGAGTAGGATTCCCCCTCCAATCCTAGTCCAACTAGGATTCCTCGGAGGGGAAAAGAGGAGGAGGGGGC